TCTGTTTCTCTGTCTCTCTCTGTCTGTCTGGTGAGCGCACACACCCTATAGCAAAAATCTCTCAAAAAAAAAAAAAAATCCCAAGAAGAGAATGGAGGAGAAGGGATTCTAACACCCCAGGAGGTGAGGCAGTTGTCACTTCCTTTCTCTGTCTCTCTCTCTGGCAAGTGCACATATCCTATAGCAAATTTTATGGAAAAAAGAAAGAAGAAAGAAAGAAAGAAAGAAAGAAAGAAAGAAAGGAAGGAAGGAAGGAAGGAAGGAAGGAAGGAAGGAAGGAAGAAAGAAAGGAAGGAAGAAAGAGAAAAAGAAAAAGAGAGAAAAGGAATCATTTATGTCAACATGGATGAACCTTGAGGACATTATGTTAGGAGAAACATGCCAGGCACAGAAAGACAAATGCTGTGTGATCTCACTTATATGTGGAATCTGAAAATGTCAAACTCACAGAAGCAGAGAGTAGAATGGTGGATATCTGAGGCTCGAGTTGGATTGGGGAGATGGTTGTCAATGGACACAGTATTTCAGTAGAGAGGAGAAATAAATTCAGGAGATCAAGTATACTCGTGGTGACTATAGTTCATAATGATGTATTTATGCTTGAAAATTGCTATCAGTAGATTTGAAGTGTTCTCACCACAAAAAATGTTAAGTATGTGAGAGAAAACATATGTCAATCAACTTGATTTAGCCATTTCACCATGTATAGACATATCAAAATTGTTGTATACTTTAAATATATATAATTTTCACTTCTCAGTTAAATTCTTTTTTTTTTTTTAAGTGAAAGAGGAAAACAGGAAATGTCTTGATTATATGAGGATCTCTCTCTCTGACTCATCTTTAGGTGAACCCCAAAGAGTCTTGTTAAGGTACCAACTTCATTCTTCCCGAGAAACCCTTATATTTACAAAAGCCAGTGGTAGCCCCACTGATGAGACTGGACCCACTGTAAGAAGCCAAGTGAAATGAAGAGTGGCTTGGTTCCGAGACTACTGTGACAGTCCAGTTGTGATTTAACAAACTTAGTGCAGACATACCTTATTAAATGTTTTTCTGAAACGTGCAGACAAATATCCAGCCCACTCTAGGTGAAGTTTCTCAAGAGTGGGAACTGTTGTTTTTGTCTTTAACAGACACATAGTGTCCAGCACGAGGCCACAAGGCAGTTGAATTGACATGGCTTCTTGGTTCACTGAAATGCCTATTTGAATAGAATGTTCAATAAGTTTGCAGGCTCCATGCTTGTTCTGGGTTCATGAGCAGATCAAGCTCCCACCCCTGGATGGAATGGGAGTGAGGGTGATACTCAGCTCAAAGGAGTGTATCTTGGCTTATCCAGCCCTAATGGCCTCAGAGCCCAGACTGAGAGACATCACTAATCTTTGCTTTCATTTGTAGTCTCTTTAAATTGTTTTAACATTTAAATCTTAGGTACAAATGTTAACCCAGAGTGAAAGTGACTCACTGTCTCCTACTTCTTGTGTCGGGCATCGTTTCTGTCTGGCCGGCAGAGCCAGGTGGCTCCTGAGTCATCTGAAAGGTCTGCCATAATATGTCTACATCCTGTCCACACTCTTCTCCCAAGCAACAATCCCTGATGCTGTTCTGCCTTCTCAGAGGAATCTAAATCCCCAGCACTTATCTCAAAATACTTCTCTGTTGCCCCAAGGAGAATCAAAAAATCTCTCCTAGCTCAGCCCTCTGGTCTTGGCAATAAATTTCAACCCAATCCCGTTAACTTCTTTACCTCATTGCAGACTGGAAAAGCCTAGTCCACTTAAAGAAAGAGCCTATTGATTGAAATAGAGTGGGATAGGGGCCAACTGGTGGCATAGTAGTTAAGGCACTGGACTCTCACGTGGCTGACTGCATTTCAAGTCCCAGACCCTGCAGCTTGAATCTTGTGTTGGGCACAAGTGTGTGCATGCCCAAAATTCTAAGAGGAGAATGGAGGAGGAGGGAATGCGGTGTGACCATCTCTCTTGGGGGTGGGGGTGACTTCTCACTTTCCTTTTGTCTCTCTCTCCAGCAGCAAGTGCACATACCCTATAGCAAAAATTTCTCTCTTTCAAAAAAAGAAAAAGAAAGAAAGAAAGAAAGAAAGAAAGAAAGAAAGAAAGAAAAAGAAAAAGAGAAATAGAGTGGAATAAGGCAGCCTGGACATTTCATCACAACATTTAGCAAACATTTTTTAAGCATCTACTGGGTTCTAGGCACAATATCAGGTACTGAGATTACAGCTGGACGAGACAAACATGTTCTTGCCATCATAAAGTTTCAATTTTATTAGGCAAGATAGATTTTGCAACAAGATGCAGAGAACCAGTTGAGCTATGGGTACAAAGCATCAGGACAGTACAGCACACTGAATGGGTGTAGCTGGGGATGACCTACTCTGCCTGGGGTGAGGGGTGGTGCTCTATCAGCCAGAAAGAGCCTCATCAAAGTGGGGAGATCTGAGGAGAGAGAGAAATGTGTCTCCCAGTTCTGTGGAAATTGGGAGTGGGCAGATCTGTTCTTGAAGCTACACAGTCTGGTTAACCAGGGAAAGAAGAACAACTCAGGAGCAAAAAGCAAAGAGCAATGGACAGTAGGGGTCCACTCTCCATAAGGGTCACGGATCAGAGGAGCCATGTGGAGCACTACTCTCAACTTTCCTTTTATTTTAAATTTTAAAAATTTTCACTAAGGGTACACTTAGAGAGAGAGAGAGAGAGAGAGAGAGAGAGAAAGGAGAGAGAAGAAACGTGATAAATCACCCTCCTCCCCCCGAGGGGATGGCCATGCTGCAATCCCTTCTCCTCCATTCTTGGGATCTGGGGCATGGACACATGTGCACCCAGCATGTTTCTCCAGCTGCTGGGTTCAGGGTTCAAACTGTGCGTCAGCCATGTAGGATCCAGCTGCCTTAACCACCACACCATCTGCTTGCCCCTCTCAACTTTTCTATATCAACCGGCCAGCTTCAAAGCCAGGGCAAGGATGTTGCGGGGAGAGAGCAGGAATAACATGACCTATTAGAGGAGTCATTGCTTGCAGTGACCTTATGCTGCTGATCCCATTGCTAGCCCTCAACCATCATTACGGCAGTCTCCTAGCACCCTACGAGGGAGCAACAACCAAAACAGTCATAGCAGATTCAAGGTACAGGTCTGAGAAAAACAGGATGCGAGAACCTCTGTGGATCTCCCGCAGCTCCTGCAGGGCTTTCTTCTGGCCTGGGCTTCTCTTTCCCACAGCCTAAAGATCTGCTCATCTCCTCTGCCCTGCTACTCCTCCCCCAAGCAAAGAAATGCAGCCTTTGATGTACCCAGTTATGGAACTGTGTTCCTTCCTCCTTGCCAGCTTTGTCTAGGAAACACAAAGACAGTAAACAGGGGGTGGGTGAACAGAGCTGAGATTTTTCTGGGAATGAGAATTAAGATTGGACTCAGGGTCTTTGGCCATTTCCCAAATGCAATGAGTTTATCACTGCCAGGGACAGCAAGTGTACAAAGCTCTTGGCAGTGACCTCTACTGATTTATGAGGGGTTCTGGTTTGTTTCCCCTGTTCTGTAGACAAGCAGTCTTAAGGGAAATGTATATCCAGACTCTGCAAAGTACAAGGGAGCCACTGGCAAAAACCAGCTGAGTCTCCACCGAGAGGGAATTCCTAAGGGCCAGAAAAAAAGTTCAGAAGTTTTTTTTTTTTTTTTTTTTTGCTTTTACTTGTTTATCCCCTGCCTTTCCTTTCTCTCTCTCTCTGTCCTTTTATGAGAGAGATGATTGGGTTGTCTATGAACAAGCAGAAGTATCAGCTTACACCTGCCTTCTAGATCCAGGGAAGGCACCTACTCCCAGGAGGATGAGGATGGCTTCCCATATGTGGAGACGCCAAAGCTGTAGCATCCTGAATCACACCAAATGTCTCAGCCACCATTCTCAGTGGTGGGAGGGAGTCACAGCCCTTCATGGTTGACAACAGTAGTACAGAAATGTCACCCTGATGAGAAACTGCCTTCATCTTCCGTTCCTGGACCAGGGCACTCTGATGATGGGCTACTCTGCTCTCAGGGGATACTATGGCAAAAGCAAGAATAACTGAATCAGTAGGGACGGAGACACACATGGGAGCTGGAGGGAGGGAACCTGTCTGAAAATCACAGCTGCTCCGCATCAATATCTTGCTGTGAGTGTCCTCATTTGGAAATCTCTTTTCCTTTTAGACAAAATACAGCGACTCTCATAAGAGATGGGGAAGGTAATCAGACAAATGCCTGGGGCCTTGGGCCACAAACACACTGCTGAACCACTTAATACCCTTATGTCCTCCCCTCTGCTGTGGGTTCCTAAAGCAGCAAAGAGCTCATTTCTCAACTTTAGAACATCCTCCTGAGTGGGGAACCACTCAGCTGGAGCATTGCTCAGTGCCAAGAGCCCTTCTCGTGATTTCAAGAGCCCTATTTTTTCTTTCTGCAGGTGTTTGTGCCTCATCTCTGCCCTCCATTCCTAAGCTTCATGGAATAACATCCAGACTTTGGGAACTGTTGGTTGTAGGCCCTTGATGGAAGGTGAGGCTGTGGGTCAGACTGTGATGTTGCTATGTGGGGTGATGGAGAAGGAACTGGACTTGGATTTAGGTCCTGACTCAAAGGCTTGGATTTAGGTCCTGACTTGGCCCTGACAGTTGGAGATGGAAATGTTACTGGAAGCACTACAAAAATGTCCAGTAACAATTTTATGTTGTGAGAGATAGGATATAGATGAGACAAAAGATCCAAAGATTCCAGAGGAAGGACAGGGGAGGCAGACAGGCTTTGGGAGCAGGGTCCAGCTGAACTATTTTAGTTACTGTGCTGTTTGCTCTAAAGCAATGCGTAGTGTTAAACAATTCTATTTAACAAAAGAGAACACTGAGACTTTTAATAGGTTAAATGGCTTGCCCAAGTAAGTATAGCATCAAGATTAAGCTGTGTGACCCTAGAGCTCATGCTCTTCCCAGTTTGACATGCCACTTTTCATTGTCCTTAACTTGAGGTTTCAAGAGGGTAGGGCGATCACTGTTGCTTGGCTGAGACAAATGAAGTTCCTCTATGTGTGGTCATGAGAACAGAGAGGTTTCCTTTGGATTCTTAAATCTGAGTCATCGTTGGAGCAGATGTCTACAAGTGCCTTTCAGGAAACATTCACGACCACCCGTGTTAGCCGTGTCACCAGGTATAGCCAGGGCTCTGGTTTCTCACCTAATAGGCCATGTACACTTTGCTCTCCATATGTGAAGGAAGTAGTGAACATCCATCGGAAACAATCCCAGCCTGGCGAAGCATTGAGAACTAAGGGAACCTTAGGAAGCCCTAAACAAGTCTGTATCCTTGAGTCTTACCTTTCAAGAGATGCTTGAATATGTTAAACTAGTGGTCTTCAGACCTTAGGTATGTTCAGCTGAAGCCAGAGAATATTAACATTTTTTCAACATGGGTTCTGCAGATAGTACTGCACAGTGGTAAAGAGGAACACAAATTGGTATCTGCTTAGAGGACATTGAAGAGACACCACAGCAATGTGGACATCCACTTAAGTGGAATTGGTTCCTCCTCAGCAACGCAGCTTTGGATGACCATCTTAGGATCATGTGCAACATAAATGAAAAGCTCCCATTTAGATTTCTTTGGCCTCTTAAGCCAAAGGACATGGGAGCCTCTTGTTTCCACGTAAGGCATCACTCAAGGTCACAAGAGGCTGTAAGAGTAAATGCTGTTTTGCCTTTACCCGGCAAAGTGTTTGTATAAACATATTCAACTGAACTGGCCAAAGGCCACAGTATTTTCGTTCTGTTCAACACATATTCTTAGATAAGAGGAGCTTCAAAGACAGCTTTGCATATTGCCTTTTACCCACCCAAATACTATGGGTATTAACTTTGAAAAGTGTTTTCCTTTTCCTCTTTGAGGTCATGGGGTTTGGTGCAAGAAATCTATGCCAAGTAGCAACAAAGACATTTTGCAATTTAGTTCTCTGACGCCTTCTCTCCAGGAACTACTAGTCTGTGTGGTAATAAATAGAACCTGATCACAAAAAACTGATGTTTTCTTTTCAAAATGCATCCCTCCCTCTGCTGTTCATCCCCCTAAAATAAAACCACCCACAGAATAAAATGAGGAGCTCCTGGAGCAAGTAGTGCCATGGCATTCTTGTTAAAATATGTCTGGCATGGGCGTCCACCAGGAAATGCCCTCCAATTGAGGATTAATACCAGGAAACTTGGTGCAGTCTTGTGATATTGACACACAATGCCACCCCCTCCACCACTGGAGCAAAGATGAACAGCCTTCACCAGCCTAGAAAGACTACTTTTGAGTAATCTGGGGCAAACATCAAATCATACACCTCCAGGCTTGGGCTTTTTAACAAAGCAAGTTAGATGTCTTGTATTCTTTAACTGGGTAGCTTTTAATTAAATTTTAAAAAAAATATTTTATTTATTTCTTCCATGAGTGAGAGACAGCGAGACAGGCATCCCCAACAAAATAGTAATACCACAATTCACACCTTAGCCTCAGTCAGCCCCACATCCTGAGTATGAGTGGCCAGTGTATTCAGAGAAGTCTCAGGATGCAAACCTGGAACCTTTCCATGCAGGTCAGCCTCTCATTTTATTGCCATGCCACTACCCAGCCCTCTCAAGTTGCTTTTAGACTTGTAAGTTTAGGAAATAATAGAAACTTTTGGCTAGAGGCATCTCGTCTGCTTCTCATAATGTAGACTCGATGGTGTATGTTTTAGCTCTTTCATCACTCTGATCTTAGTCTGGCCTTGAGGTTGCTCTTTAACTGTTATATGCATTGATGGTAGCGGGGCTGAGCTCTGTTGCCTCAGATTGAGGGCTGCTTAAGGGAAGGGACCCTCTAATGCATCTGGATATTCCTGGAGACTAGAACATTTGGCACTTAGTGGGTATTCTTGTATTACAGTTTTGCTATGTTATAATAGCATGTTGTAGACATTTAATTTAACCAGTATTTATTGATCACCTGCTATATGAGCTCATCAAGGTTGTTCAGCAAGGGTCTTTAAAGCTAAGGGACAAATCCTCCACCTGCTTTTTGTTGTTTTGAGTTTTTTTAAAAAACCTTTATTTATTTAAATTTGACCAAAGAGGGACAGAGAGAGAGAGAGAGAGAGAAAGTGAGAAAGTAAGCTGCCAGGTTCAGGACTTGAACCACAGTCAGCCATGTGGGAGTCCAGTGCCCTTAACCACCACACCACCTGTCGACCCATTTTTAGGTTTTGACCATAGGGTGTGTATGCTGCCAGAGAGACACAGAGAGGGAAAGTGAGAAATCACTCTCCCCATCACCAAGGGATGACTATATCACAATCCCTTCTCCTTCATTTTCCTCTTCGGATTTGGGGCATGCATGCACATACACTCAGTGTGATTTTCAAGTTGTTGAGTACGGGATTTGAATGATGGTTGGCCACATGGGAATCCAGCACCTTAACACCACATCTCCTCCTGCCCCTCTCTCCTGCTCTTTGAGATGATAGGCACAGCTCAGAGTGCTATAGTTGTAGAGTGAGCTGTCAAGGAAATTTTTAAAAAATTTGTTCCTGTGCAGAACATTATTTTAGCATTGGCTAAAGAAGGCCAAATTTCTGCTTTCATAAATTTTCTTTCTATTTTTTTTTAGAGAGAGATTTTTTGCTATAGGGCATGTACATTTGCCTAAGAGAAAGAGAGACAGAAAGCAAGAAATCACTCCCCCAGGGGGATGGCCATCCCTCAATCCTTTCTCCTCCATTCTCCTCTTGGGATTTTGGGCATGCATGAACGCAGACACACACACTTACCCGGCATGAGTTTTAAACCAGCGGGTCTAGGACTCAGACCGTGCTGACTACATGGGAGTCCAACGACGTAACCATTATGCCATCTGCTCGTCCCTGCTCTCATCAATGTTCAAATTCAGAGCCTGGAAATCTCAGATACTACAAGTGAAGAGTGGGGTGGGTGTCTCAGCAGCTACCTCAGGTCAGGAAAGTAGTGGAGCTTGGACAGTTATGAAGGCGAGGTGTGTACCTACCATGCCTAAAGCCAATGAGCCAGGTTGGTCCACCTGATTTGGCTGTCAATCCATTTGATAGTCAGATTTCCAATGTAATCCAATCTCAGTGGAGTGTTTTCTTAGCTTTGTTTTGTTTTGTTTGTAAAGAATGATGTGCTCTTAGACAAGCTCTGCCTGATGATAAAAGGTCATCCAGACCTCTTATTTCCTGTGTAATTTCCCTCAGCATAGAACTTCATATCCCCTAGGTCAAGGTCTCCCATCTCAAGTGGGAGAATGGATGTTCATGAAATGGATGGATGGACAGATATACCAATGCTTGAATGGACCCAGTGACAAAGACCTTGGAACATCTTTCGATACTCTGAGCCTTTTTACATTGAAGCCAGGCAGCCACTGTTGGCCAGCTGACTCCTGTCACCCTTCTGGAGCCTATGGAGGTTCTACAAAGAAGCAAATGCCCTTAGAGGAAGCTGGAGGTTCTCAGTACTTCCTGTGGTTTAATTCTCTCCTCCAAAACCACTGGCAAAGCTGTATACTATGTGCCCCGGGATTCAGATCTTTCTCCTGACTCCAGCCGATGCCACACACCACCATCTGATTCCCCCTCGTCTAGCTCAAAGCCCTGGGTGCTTTCTTGTCTTCAGAACAAATTCCTTTAGGTGACAATTGAGGACCCCAAAATTTGATTCTTACACACTTTCCCTTCATTTTTCCCCTTTCAAAGTCAGACATCTTCTTGGAAGATGATTTAGAACTATGAGGTCCCAGGGAAACCCATTCATTCTTGTGAGTTCACACTTACAAATATGTAGCTCTTTTTACTTTTTTAGAGAATTTTCAGGGCTATTAGCTCATCTGATTTCTCGAAAATCCTTAGCAGGCTGCAGAGAAGACATCATCCCTCTTTTTACAGATTTTGGCCCAAGACCACATAGCAGGTGGATGACACTGCAGGTCCTCTGATGTCCAGGGTTGAGAACAGAGAATTCAAACCCTAGCATAAAGAGCTGCATCCTTAAAAAAAAAAAAAAAAAAAAAAAAAAAAAAAAAATCATGGCCCATTTTGTTTCTCCCCTCCCAAGGCTAAATCTGTGAAACTGGAACAACACAGCAAACAGCTGAGGGCTACAGCCACAGCCCACAGACCTTTATGGGAGATTTGGTCTTGGCCCAAATTTTCAAAAAAGCCAAACGGATCAGCAAAATGCAAGTGCTAATGCTGGGTCCATGGTGACAGGGTGTCTTGTGAAATATTTCCACAGGAAGCAGACACAGGCAATTAACTTCATTGTAACAATGCATGTGGTCAAATACAAAAATTCTCAGAGAAGCTGCACCCCACCTCCAGGCCCCACTTCCAAGGCATTTCTAAATCTGGCTGGGCCTTCACTCAGGCTGCTGACCACTAACGTTAGGGCACATGGCCACTGTAGAGGGTGTCTGAGGACCACTGTGACCCGCTAAGGAAAGCACCCACAGCTCCTGATGCTGATGGGAGTTACAGGGGTTTAGAAGTCACCAACCCCACTTAGCAGATGGGCAAACTAAGGAAAGAAAGTTTATGGGCCAGGAAGTGGCATGGAAGTTAAGGCTCTGGCTCCCACATAGCCAGCAACAGCACAGTTTGAGTCTCAGACTCAGCTGCTTGAGAAACATACTGGGCATGTGTGTGTGTGCATGACCAAGATCATGGAGAAGGGATTATGGTGTGGCCATTTCCCCTGATGGTGGGGGTGTGTGGGGGGGTGATTTTGCGCTTTCTCTCTTTAGCTCTCTTCTCTTTCTGGTGAATGCATATACCCTATAGCAAAACTAAGAAAAAAAAGTTTAAAGAAGTTACCTGTACAATTAATGAAAGAGTGTTTTTTACGGGATGGGGCCAACCCTATAGCATGGTAGCTAAGTGCTGTATATTTGGAAGCAGATTCCACATGGCCAGCCAAGGTTTGGATCCTAGCCCCAGTGGCTTGAAAAACATGGGGTACATGTGCATACATGCCCAAGATCCTGACAGGATGGAGAATGGAGAAAAAAGAATTTTGGCATAGTCGTGCCTCATTGGAGAATGCTCTCTCTCTTTCTCTCTCTCTCTCTCCTCTTTCTCTCTCCCCCTTCTGGTGAATGCATGTACCCTCTGGTAATCAGAAAAGAAAAAAGAAAAGAAGAAAAAGTGTACCGCACAAATAAGACCAGAGTTCCTGGCTGAGGGCACTGCTCTAGGGACCAGCATGTCTCCATGTCTCAGGGTGACAACTGAGCTCTCAGCACTGAGAGTCTAGGGGCAATGTAAGCTGAGGGGCAGGCTTTCTGCCATCAAGTTGGGATAGGGATAGTTGAGTGCGACCCTGGCTGGTCACAGCAGTAAGGGTTTTAATTCCTTTCTACACCCGGCAGCTTCTGAACTGTACCTGCTTCAGTGGTACGGGAAGCCAGTACTGGGCAGAAAGGAGAAGGCAGTTCATGGTGTACCATGGTACTGGCCAACCTCTGCTCTGCGACACTCTATTCTGATACGAAAACATTCTCACAGACTGCCGTGTGGCTGTGACTGTATCAAGAACAAATCTCCTCCAACCTACTCTCCCCATAGAAACTGAAGATGAACCATTTTCAACTCTCTACCCTGTGTCTTTCTGGAGTTCTCAAAGTGTTTCAATGATGTGCGTGGCATATCCTTTAGTACAGGACATAAACTATAGGCCGTGGCTCGGTATGACCCACTGTCCATATCTTCATGTCCCAGGAGCTAAGAGTGGTTCCTATGTTTCTAAGTGGCTGAAAAAAACGAGAAGTTATATTTTCTGAGAAATGATATAAAAATAAATTTCACTGCCCATAAATAAAATTTGGGGGGAATGCAGCCATACCCACTTATTTGCTTTCTTCATATTGTTACATTGTAGCTGCCTTTGTGTGGCAGAATAGAATAGCATGACATAGACCATCTAACCCACAAAACCTAAAATTTATAGTATCTGTCCCTTTCTAGAAAAAGTTTAGTTTTCATCACTGGCTCTTGGTTTAATATCAAAGGCAGACTACAGAATCACCCAATTTGTGTAGGGTTTACAGACTGAAGGTTTTGTCGCCCACCAGTTCATAATGTTGAAGCCCTTATTGCCCCATGTGATGGAATTTGGAAGTAGGGCTTTGGGAAGGCAGTTAGATTTAGAGGAGGGGGAATCTCATAATGACATTCATGTTCTTACAAGGAGAGAAACCTTGTCTGTGTCATGTCAGGACACAGCAACGAGGCAGTTGGCTGCGAGCCGGGAAGAGGGCCCTCACCAGGAGCCACATCTGCCAGCACCTTGATCCTGGATTTCCAGCCTCCAGAACTATGAGAAGAAACTATCTGTTGTTTAATCCATCCAGTTGGTGGAATATTGTTACAGCAGCCTGAGCAGACCTAACGCACACTGATAGGCAGAAATTAAGGACAAAATATACCAAAATAGGGGTTATCTCTGGGCACCAAGACTACATGCCATTATTCAATTTTTTCCATCAGTATGCTAAACATAAAAGCATGGAAAAGAAATATTGGGCCAGCTCTGGGGCAGTGTGACAATGGCCTCTCGGGTAGATCCCACAGAGTGACTGCAGTTCAAATCGCCGGCCTGGTCAGCCTGAAACACACAGGGCACGTGTGTGTGCCCAAGATGCAAAGGGCTGGAGGACCGGAGGATGGGCAAGGTGTGTGACCAGACTCTGTGGGGGGTGTTCATCCTTCTCTCTCTTTCTCTCTGGTATGTACAAATACTCTATAATGAGTAATAGCAATAAAGGAAATATTAATGATGTTAGGAAAATAAAAAAGTAACTATCGACCATATCTTGCTGTGAGCATGCTTCATTTTTCTCTACCCCTTTCCCCTTCTCTGCATAGGTTCCACTGTCTCTCTGTTACAGAGCAGGAAAAGAAGACGGAAGGAATTTAAGTAACTTGCCGAAGGTCACTGTGTTAGTAAGAAGCATTCCGTATATTTATGGGAGAAACCCACTTAAGAAGCAACAGGGAACAGACTGAAAATAGGAATTGGTTCAGGAAGAATGTTTTACTTGAATTCATGAGAGGCCAATCCTAACAGATAATGAGGAAGATAGAGATGCTTAAGACACCCTCATGTCTAGTCTCCCTCACAAGATTATTGTAGAAATGAGGTATAATGCACTTGGAAGTACCTGAAGAATGGCAGAGCACTGTACTAACGAGGCTGAGCATTTAGACACTTGCCAAGGTACAGCGTGCTGACTTCTCAAGTCTTCCCAGCACATCTTTCTTGAATTAGAAAGAACACGAGGGCCAGTCAGTGGTGTGGTGGTAAAGATGGCTGGAACCCATGTGGACAACTATGAGTTTGAGTCCTGGACCCAGCAGCTTGAAACATGCACCAGGTGCATGTGCATGCATGCCCAAATCCTGAAAGGAGGAAGAAATGGAGAAGGGGATGCAGTGTGGCTATCCCCCATGGGGGTGCTTTCTCACTTTTCCTCCTGTCTGTCTATCTTCAATGAACAGAAACACCCTCTGGTACATTTTTTTTTTAAGACAAAAGTAAAAAAGAGAGAGAGAACATGAATACCTGAGACGAGAGAACCAGTTGCCAAAATATGGTGCCTCCCCACAAAGGAATACTATGCAACAATGAAAGAGCCAGGTAATAAGCAAATGGTTGCTCTAGTGTTGGCTTTATGTTTTTTTTTTTTTTAAGAGAGGTTTTTGCAGGACCAGTAGTTAGCGTAATGTCTATGTCACTGGACTCCCACATAGTCGACCGCAGTTCGAGTCCCGGACCCGGTGGCTTAAACTCACGCCGGGTGCGTGTGCGTGCGTGCCCAAGATCCCGAGAGGAGGAGAAGGGATTGCGGCGTGGCCATCCCCTCTGGGGGGTGATTTCCTGCTTTCTGTCTCTCTGTCTGTCTCTCTGTCTGTCTGTCTGTCTGGCGAGCGCACACGCCCTATAGCAAAAATCTCTCCAAAAAAAAGAAAAAAAAAAGAGGTTTTTGCTATAGGGCACGTGAGCTCACCAGAAAGACAGAGAGAGACAGAGAGACAGAAAGCGAGAAATCACTTCCCCCCCAGGGGGGATGACCATGCCGAAATTCCTTCTCCTCCATCCTCTTCTTGGGGTTTTGGGCACACATGTGCATGCACGCAGCATGAGTTTTAGGCCACCAGGTCTGGGACTTGAACCATGGTTGACTACATGGGAGTCCAGCAACATAACCATTATACCACTCAGCTTTTTTTGAGAGTGCTCGTGGTCAGGTAGGATAAAGCAGATGAGCAATCATGCTATCATCCCTGGTGTCCTTGGGAATGAGAAATCTCAGTATGGAGAAAGGAGGCATGGGTGGTAAAAAATTCTGATTTTGAATGGCAAGTATCAGTATGCATTCATAATGCATTTTGACTTCAAACAACAACATACTTTCTAGCCCTGTCCACTGGAAAGTCCTAGAAATGATGAGCAATCCATGAACAACGAGCACTCATGAGTGCCTAAACTGCAGTTTCAAAACCATTTTCCAGAAGAGAAATCAGGCATCCTTGGAGAAAAGACTTACTCTAGGTCTGTGATAGTGCTTGGGACATCTTAGCTTCCTTGTTATTACAACAAAGACTACAACTGCGGCCAGCAGGGGGCGTAGTGGTTAAGGCACTGAACTCCCACGTAGTTGACAGTGGTTCCAGTCCTGAATCCAGCGGCCTGAAACTGGTACAGGTTCATGGGTGTGTGTGCCCAAAATCCCGAGAGGAGAATGGAGAAGGAACTGTGGCATGGCCAAGCCCCGTTGGGGGTGATTTCTTGCTTTCTGTCTCTCTCTCTCCAGTGAGTGCATGTGCTTTATTTCAAAAATCTTTCTCAGGGCTTTATTTAAAAAAACTTTTCAAAAAAAAAAAAAAAAAAAAAAAAAGCGAGATTACAACTGGCCAGAGATGGCACAATTCAAGCTTCAATAAAAATAAACGGGCTGGCAAGTGGCATGGTGGTGAAGGTGCTGGACTCCCACATGGCTGATGGCAGTTCAAATCCTGGACTTGGCAGCCTGCCTTCTCACTGAGTCACTTTATCTCTCTCTGGTCAAATTAATAATAATAATAATAATAGTAAATAAAATTAAATAAAAAAATAAGCAAAATGGATCAAAATACATGAAATATGTTTCAACTCATGAGTTTACAAAGACACTGAAAACAAAAACAAAAAACCTCTACTTGATGAAGATGATAGTAAACCACTCATTATTCTGAAAATAGGCAAATAAAGGGAGACAAAACATTTATCCTGTCTTCTTATTTGAACTACATTACTAGTTAGTCAGCCAGTGGTTGATGGAAGTTTCTCCTTATAGAAGTATTCCAACTAGCGGCCGGCAGGTGGTGTGGTGGTTAAGAACGCTGGACTCCCACATGGCCAACCATGGTTCGAGTCCTGGACCTGGTGGCTTGCTTTCTCACTTTCTCCCTCTCTGGTATGTATGTATGTATGAATGAATGTATAAATAAATAAATAAAGAAAGAAAGAAAGAAAGAAAGAAAGAAAGAAAGAAAGAAAGTTAAATAAAAGATTTCTTAAAAAATTTTTAAAAGGAAATATTCCAAGTAATATATGAAGAAAAAAAATGATCACCGTTTTATAGGCCTCGCTCAACTAATGGATCTAAGCAACAAGCAACAGCTGCTGAAATCACAAAATGAAGGCCACTAGACTTTGTGTGCCTCCTGACAGGAAGGCAGGAAATAAAACCTAAATCTGATTAAATATCGAAGTCAAACAACCCATTTATAGGAAATTCAGATGATAGAAAAACATGTTAAATAGCACCACAGGGCTGTAATCAAAGAAAAGAGAAAGAAAAAAACATGAACATCCAGAAGAGAGGACTGGATGCCGAAATACAGTGCCTCCAGAAATCTGCCAGACCCGGGAAGTCTTTATAGGGCAAAGACTTTCCTCCAGAAATCTGCCAGACCCGGGAAGTCTTCACAGGGCAAAGACTCCAATTCCTTCATCAAATACATTTCAAGGGGGTGGGAAGAAGGGAAGAGAGAGAAAGGAACCTACAGATTACAAGGCACTTAAATGTCAGTCTACTGCAATGCGTGGACCTCATTTGGATTCTAATTATAAATAAAGATTTACCAAAAAAAGCATTTATGGGATTTTTTTCCCCCCCACTGGGTGTGTGCGCTCACTGGAGGGAGACAAAGATAAACAGAAAGGGAAAGTGAGAAATCATCCCCCAGGAGGGGTGGCCATGCTGTAACCCCCTCTCCTCCATTCACCTCTCAGGATTTGGGGCAAGCACACACATACACCCAGTGTGATTTTTTTTTAAGCTACTGGGTCCGGGACTCGAACTGCAGTCATCCATATGGGAATCCAGCACCTTAACCATCATGTCACATTCTGGCTCCCACTTAATGGGACTGTTTTATGTTTTGACACTTGCCCGACATTTGGTGGCATTAAGGATTATTGCTAATTTATTAAGATGTAATATTGGTATCCTGGTAATGTTAAAACAAAAAGGTCAGTTCCTTCTGGGGATACATACCTAAGTATATACAGATGAAGTGACACAATGTTTTGGGTTTGTTTGCAACCAACTCGGTGGCAGGTGAAGAAGAAGATGGAGACACAAATAAAGTGAGAGTAGTCACGTATAGATGACTGCGGAGGCTGGATCGGGGTCTGTAATGGTTTATTGTTTTGCTCTTTCCCCTTTGTGAATGCTAAAATCGATAGAGATGGACCAGCTCATGGTATGATGGTTATGGCGGCTGGATTCCACATGGCCATCTACGTGGACCAAGTCCCAGACCTGATAGCTTGAAAACATGCCAGCATGTGTGTGTGTGTGTGTGTGTGTGTGTGTGTGTATGTGTGTGTGTGTGTATGCCAAAAATCTTGAAACGAGTACAAAAGTGGAGAAGAAGGGATTGTGGTGTGATCACGTGAGGTGCTTTCTCACTTTTTCTGTCTGTCTCTGGCAAGCGCTTGTGCTCTCTGGCAATTTCCCTCCCCCCATAGGGCATGTGAGCTTGCCAGAGAGACAGAAAGAGAGAGAGAGACAGAAAGAAGGGGAAAATGAGGGATAACCACCCCCAGGGGAGATGGCCACACTGCAATCACTTGTTCATTCTCCTCTCAGGATTTTGGGCATGCATGCACATGCGCCAACATGGTCCAGGACTCAAATTTCAGTAGGCCATGTGAGATCCAGCACCTTACACACCACGCCACCTGCTGGCCCTCTGGCAAAAAAATTTTTTTTAAAACTTAAAAAGAAAAGGAAAGAGATGAAACAAGTCTCCCCATGACGTGACGCTCAGAGTGGCACTGCTGCAGATGCATCATGGTTCTAACCAGCAGACCTTCTCTCACGTTTCATGAGTAACGGAGAGCTGAGCTTTGTATTGCAGAGCACCATACGGGAACCCCACGGAGCTTGTCATCACCCTCCTCACTAGGCCATGTCAATATGGTGCTTGGGAGCACACACACACATAAGTAAATGTATTAGAAAACAAGACGTATGACTCAAGTGGTTTTCTTTGAAGCTGCAGAGGGTGTGAGGAACTTGCGAGTCCATAAAGCAAAACACTGGACTCTGGAGAACCAAGTCTGCCTGACCCAGCATCCAGTGGAGTTCACAGCCAGGGGGGAAGGAAACAGTTACGGCATTGACGCGGGTAGTTGTTTCCATTACGAAGTTCTGAGCAAATGACGGCCCATCTGGATGACAAGGGACACCAGTTTTGTTCTCAGGCCATGCATTACTTGCATTGGTGCAGCTCCACTGAGTTTCCGAAATTGGAGAAGAATGTCTGTGGGAGGGCAACTATCCAGGTTCTCTACCGGGGACCCTGCAGGTGAGAGGAATGAGTGGGATCTGCTGCCCTCTGTCCAGAGTGGCTTCTGTTCCTCTCACCAGCCTCCTAATTGTGCCATGCTGGGCTGCGAGTCCTTCCCATGGGGTTACTTTTACCCTAGAATTCACCTCCTTTGGGGCATTTCTTCAGTGTTGAAATCACCCAGTTATTTCTCTGTCTACCCTACTAGCCTAATAAACTTGTTGAGGACAGGGGCTTTTGTCTCTTCTTTATGGTGTGCCACAACATAGCACAGGGCCTGGAATGTAGAGGTGTTCCAGAAACACCAACTACTTCCATAGTGGTCTATGTTGTTGCAAATCTCTATGGACACAAGGGTGGGCTTTATATTGGGTCACCAGAAAAGTCTGTTTTTCTATGATTTTCTATGCAAAAAATTGTGTCATGACTTTTCTGATGATCCAGTAGTTAGACAGATAAGGGTCTGACTCATGGCCTTACCCGTATCCACTTTACCAATGCTATGTCATGGGTTCCAGCTTCTACTACTGACTTATTGCAAGACCTCAGGTTTTTTTGTTTTGTTTTGTTTTGTTTTTGGAGAGGTTTTTGCTATAGGGCATGTGTGCTTGCCAGAAAGACAGAGAGAGACAGATAGCAAGAAATCACACTCCCCCACCCCCACCCCGGGGGGATGGCCATGCTACAATCCCTTCTCCTTCATTCTCCTCTTGGAATCTTGGGCACGCACGCACATGCGCCCAGCATGAGTTTAAGCCACTGGCATGAGTTGAACCGCGGTCAGCTACATGGGAGTCCAGCGACATAGCCATTATGCTAACTGCTGGTCCCAAGACTTCAGGTTTTGTAAAGCACTCTGAGATTTTCCTGGAAAAGATAAACCATATCACTATAAATTTCTGTTTCTAGGTAGTAACGTAACGAATCCAGAAAAACAACTCTGGAGTTCTCCTGTGCACCTATATGGAGTAAGTTCCGTTGGTGGACTTATATAAACAATAAAACCTGAAACTCTAAGTACCCACAATGCCTTGCACGTGTGTTAAAGGGTCAGGCGGTGAAGTGTGTAAATGAACACCTTACGATACAACCATTCTGGAAGATAGGCAAACCTGGGCGTCTTCAAAGGTATATCTCCCTCCATCTTTGACATTTTGACTGGTGATCTCATAGCTGTGAGAATCCAGGTTGATTGCACTGGGGGCTCCTGGAGCCAGAAATTCCTGCCAAATTTCTTCTACCCTCTTGGCTACATCCTGTAGGGGTTGTTTCTTGAGATCTTGGACAGCCAGCCAGAACCTGAAGTAGAAGTGAAAACGCAGTCAATTCTGAGGAGACTGAGCCTTTGGACCCTGACAGAGATAACCCCCAAGCCAAGTCCCATGACACTCATTCGCTTGCCTCTCCCAGCCTGCCCTGATGCCATGACATGGGTCACAAAGTCCATGGGGACTAAAGAAAATACCCACTATTGTGAAGAATGGAAAAGAAGTGCACATTGGAAGACCATACCAGAAAGAGATTTCCCTTCGCACCAGATGTCTCCACCTCAGCATTACTGCCATCCCAGGCTGGAGAGTTCTTTGTTGTTGGGCGGGGGCAGGGGGTTTCTCTCATGCATGGTAGGATGTTTAGCATCAACTTGGCCTCTACAAGATGCCAAAGGCGCCCTTTGTCCCCAAGTAACGACATCTAAAAATGTTTTCAGACATCACCAAAAGTCCCCAGGTAAAATCACTCCTGATAGAACCATGCTGTGCATATATGCCATGAGACAGCGTGAGTCCCTTTGTCAAATCTGGTTGGGATCAAGCGGAGGCATCAACATGAAGGAAAGGCCACAGAAGCAGGGAGGACCCTGCAATCGTGAAGACTATCTGCTGGAATGAATGGGCTATTCACGTCTTAGATTCACAACGTCGGTATTCAGCCCAGTGCTTGGCATAGAGTAGGTACTCAATAAATAGCTTGCAGATCAAAGATCAGCTCACCTGGACGAAAGCTGAAGGGGTGTCCCTGGGGGACCTCACTGCCAAAAGATCCTCCAGGGACAGGAGAGGAGAGAAAAGCTGCTGCTTATTATTGCCTCTCGCTAATCCCTTGGCATCGCAGGGGAGCAGTGTGTGAACTCTTTTTTTTGCTGAGAGCAGCAGCAACCAGAGCTAGAGCTTGAACAACAGCTCCCAGGTCCTGAGCATGATTCTCAAGGCTGCCTGTCAGCAGGAGCCAGGTCTGGGCGGCACAGCCTCTGTCCCATGAGTGGGACAGACCCGTTTCCCCATCATTGAGGTAAGAGGACAGGTCCCCACAGCCATGGGAATATCTCAAGGGAGGAACTGAAAAGAGCTGGACCACACTATGGTAGAAAGTGTATTCAATCTGTCATCAAATTTCACCCAAAGTAAGATGTACTTGGTTTATTTTTTAAAGGTTAAGCATGTTTTTCAGTTGCTGTTCACAGAAATGTCTTTGGAGTCAAGTGCATGGCTCAAGGGCACCACTCAGTGGTGGATTTGGGTAATGCAGCCTCATTTCCACAAGGCCAGGAGTGTGTGTGTGTGTGTGTGTGTGTGTGTGTGTGTGTGTGTGTTTTCCCAGAATGCTGCTCCAACTCTTCCCCTGATTTGCCACTTAGGATTCTAATGATCTCCTTAAATAAATCTCACATGGTTCCCTCCTTGATCCCCAACAGCCAAGTCAAAGGCAGAAAAGAGACTTAATACCACTTAATCAGAAGCTCAGATACAGTTCTGCGCTCATCCCGACTATGCCATTGTTTTGCACTGTCGCACTCTCCTGTCTCTCTTCTCATCTGTAAAATGTGCACGCAGTGGCTGAATGGGTACATGGCATGGTCTGAAAACTTCCCATCCAGACTTCACTCTGAAATGCTCTCAGGTCCCCTGGGTGGAGCCAAGGAAGAGTCCGTGTGGTGTTCACTGGCTCGATCCTGGCCCAGTGTGATCCCTTGAATTTCATTTTCTTATTCTTCTCAGGTGGCTGTGGCTACGGCCATCTATTGTCACCCACTCTCAGCACTGGGCTTTTCTTCCTGCCGTAGGTCCTTTGTCCTTCTAGCTACCAGGGGAGAAGAAAATGGAAGTGTTTCTTTAAGTAGAATCAGGAGGAGCGGGGGAGGTAGTTTGACAGGAGCTGCTGGCCTGCAGAATCGGAATTGTTCCGTTGGAGTGGGCCACCTCCAGGCACATTCCCTAGGTCCATGGAGCAACCTGTCCTCCCTCGAAGGTCTGCCATGAAATGAAAGAGCTGGGACACCCTGAAGGTGAAAGCAGCCGGTCATCTGATGATGGGAGTCCTTACAAGGCTGCTTCTGCCTGGAAGACAGTGTCTGACCAGCAGGTGAGGAATTTAGGACACCCAGCCCTAAAGAAAAAAGCCTATGGCGGTTTTCCAAAGGACCAGAGGGAGCGCTAAGATGCCCATCAGCAAAGATCTCCGCAGCCCCATGCTGGTATAGACGGTGAACCGGCCCTCCAGGAGGGTCCCCTCTGTGCTGAATCCCTGCTAGAAGCAACCTTCTGGTCAGTGCCCTTCCCATGCCAACCAGGCCCCTGCAATTTTTCACAGAAATGGATGGCAATGGCAATTTCCTGTCCCTGCTATCAGTAATGTGTGGGGTGTCACCCTGTCATCTCTGTCCTTTGCTCCAGTCTGCTCTGAGGAGAGGTACTGAGCCCCTCCGAGAATTCCTGAGGACCTCAGCAGCTTCTGTAGGTTCCCCATGGTTCCCAGGGTCTCAGGGTCCGTTCGGCAGAATTATTTGGAAGCGACATCAACATACATCACTCAGCTGGGTACAGAGGAAGTCTGGAGCTGATGTCAGTGTGAATTTCAGGATCAAACTGAATAAACTTTTATGTGAAAAATTAAAAGGTTACCCTTGTCAGATAAAACCAAGGATTACAAAAAAAATTACAAGGAGAAACAATGAACATGCCAGAGAAGGAGGGAAAGGAGACAGGAGAGGAGGGGGAGGGGAGTTAGATGGGGAAGCGAGGAAGAAGAGGAGGAAAGGGAGGGAGAGCAGAGGAAGGTGGCGGGTGGTGGGAGGGTACATGTCCCATTAGGTTAGCTGTTTTCTCTCCCTGCACAGACTGGGACTCACCCAGCCAGTCTGCCTTAGAGATGACCTGTCTTGTCTCTCTTAGGTGACAGCAAAAAGGCTGTCATAACAGCATCCTGACATCCCATACGTGTTTACCATCACCAGCTCCTAAGAGCCTTTGCATCCATTTGAAATTCAGAACAGGCTTGGGTCTGTGTTTGCCATCTTCAAGCCCCGCAGGCCTGAACGCCCAGCCCAGGCTGCCTGGCCACGCCCCCCCACAGCGCAGCAAAGAGCCACAAAAGCTCATCTCCGCACTTCCAGTACAGATGAGGCCCACCGAGGCTAGGGAAGCTTCTGGTCTTATCAAAAGCCTGCAGGTACTGTGGCTCCCCCAGGACGCAGGCAGGAGTGAAATGTGGGCAGGCAGCAAATCCGCTATCCTGCACTAAGCCCCTGTACTGGCGCCGAGAGCTGTGGGGACTGGCAGGCCTCAGCACTGTCTGGTATCGGGGAGACCACCTGTCCCGCCTTGCCACTGGTCACTGCCAGTCATCAGAACGGCTGATCGGTGCTAAAGGCTTAGAAACTGGCCTGTGGGAGAGGCAGCCGGGCCCAGGAACCACCGGGGTGAAGCAGTGGTGCCCCAGCCGCTCAGTGGCCTCCTTTTTTCCAGGCTGCCCACAGGGAAGGGAGATCCTCCTGAAAGCTGCCTGGATAAGAGAAACCACATGGCGATTCATCTCTCCCCATTCTGCCACGAGGTCCACGCAGCCCTCGGTGACCAGCTTACACAGCTTTTCACAAACTAGAATTTTCACGGGCTAGAAAATGCAGCTTTGGGTACGTTCCCAGAGAAAAGCAAACTCCAGGGCAGAAGGAAGTGTATCTGTGCCCTCTGCTGGTCATCCAGAGACTCAGGAACAATGGATTAAACTCGACCGTCCAGGATGGGCTGACGTTCCGAGGTCCTGCATTAGTAACCACCGCCAGCACCACTGCAGCCGACTTCTGTCCACCGGGCAGTGGCTGAGATGCCTCCGATGGCCACGGTGCCCGCGAGTCACCTCTGTTCTGATTAATTGTGTGTTTGGTTAGTGGTGGATCCCATTGGGCCTCGTGAACCTTCTGAGGTCTTGCTAGGATTCGGGGCAACTTCGAAGATAGCAGCTCTGGAGGCAAAGCTGGCCACCCCCTGTGCTCTCTTTTAATTGCTTTTCCCTTCAGCTGACACTGTGTGAAACTAGGATCATCAATCTGCAGGTTAGAGGAACAACTACGTTCTCTCGGGAGACGCTACAGCTCATAAAAAATGTACGGGCGACGCTCTTTGCTGTGGGTTTTGGTTTTTCA